GGAGGACTTGGAGGAGGAGGAGGATGAGGAGGAGGAGGCGGAAGAGGAGGAGGAAGATGATGATGATGATGAGGAGGAGGAGGAAGACGAGCAGGAGGAGGAAGACGAGGAGGAGGACGAGGAGGAGGAGAAGAGGAGGAGGAGAGGAGGAGGAGGGCGGAAGTAGGGCGGATGAGATGGGAGAGGAGGAGGAGGAGGAGGAGGAGGAGGAGGAGGAGGAGGGGAGAGGAGGAGGAGGAGGAGGAGGAGGAGGAGGAGGAGGAGATGGAGGATGTGGGAGGCGGTGGGAGGAGGAGGTGCAGTGGGGTCCCCCGAAATGGGCTGGCTTTCCATCCAGAGTCGTTTTTGGGACGGTGCCAAGGCCCTGCGAGCAAACATTGCCAACAAAACCGCCCGTCGTGACTTGGTGCCGACGCGAGCATGTCCAGACACACATATCTCGTCGCCCGACGCCACCGGCGCGCTTCGGAAAGGGCCTGGCACCTGCGGGGGCGGGCGACACGTGCCTCAACATGCTCGCGTCGTGGCTCGAAAGCCACGACGGGCGGATTTGTGGTCATTCTCGGCCTCCGGGGCCCTCGCCAGGCCCCTGTCAAGAAACGGCTCGGGATGGAAAACTGGCCCCAGGGAACGAGTTGGGAATTCTGGGGACCCCGTGCTGGAAAGTCAAAACGTCGCATGTCCGAGAAGCATGCTGGCCGCGCAGCTCCCGCGGGGGTGCGACCCTGCACTCCACAGAGAGCCGATGTTTTGCTTCTTCTCCAGGCGGGGCCCCCAGACGTTCCAGATCCTTTCCCCAAGGGTGTTTTTTTTTTTTTTTTTCCCCCCCCCGAGCTGTTTCTTGACGGTCGGTGGGGGCGCCCACAGGCCGAAAAAGGCAACACAAACTCGCGTCGTGGTTTTGTCACGACGCGAGGTCTCCGGTGGCCGCCTTGGACGACCTGGGCAGCCCCCGGAACGCCCTCGGCGAGGCGCGGCTGCCGGACAGCACCCCGAGGCTGGCAAGCCTCCGAGGGACCGACGAGAGCGGCAGAAGACGTTCCCCAGGGACCGCCACCTCCCGAACTGCCCGGGCTTTCCCACTCCTTGCTTGCTTTGTTGTGCGTGCGTGTGTGTGTGTGTGTGTGTGTGTGTGTGTGTGTGTGTGTGTTTGTGTTTGTGTGTGTGCGCGCGTGTGTGTGCGCGTGTGCGCGCGCGTGTGTGTGTGTGTGTGTGTGCTTTTTGCTGCCGTTGCCTTGTACTTCGTCCATGCGGGATCCCTCCAAGATCCCTGCCTTTTCCCTGGGGCCAGGCCTTCACCATCGAGAGCGATCGTTTCGCGGACCCGGGGCCGCACGAGGGCTCGTGGAGGCCGAAACCGTCGACAATCCCCCGCCCTGGTTTCTGTTCCAACTCGTGGGAGGTCTGGGTCCGCGGTGTACACGTGGCCGTCGCGCCGCACCCCGAAGCAGCCGACCACGGCGGCGCCCCCCGCGCCCGCGCCGCCCCGCGGCGTGGGCTGCGCGAGCGCGAGCGCGCCCAGCAGCAGGACGCCTCGGCACCGCGCCCGCGCCCCCGCCCGCATGGGGCGCGCGGAGGCACTCCGCGGGCCCGCGGTTCGGCGGCGGCGGGTTGGCGGCGCGCACTCGGTGGGGCGAGGCTTCGAGGCTCGAGGCTCGTGTCCGTCGGGGAGCTGCTGGCCCCGGGGTCCATGCAGGCCCGGGCCAGTCAGGCCCTGCAGGATCCTGCAGGATCCTCCGGGATCCTGCACCCAAGCCCGGGCCAGTGCGAACCTGGCCCCGCAGGAGCCTGCAGGATCCTGCGCCCAGGCCCGGGCCAGTGCGACCCTGGCCCTGCAGGCTCCTGCAGGCTTCGGCGCTCTGGCTGGCCCCCGTTTGCATGGACCCCGGGCTCTGGAGCCCCGACCTCGGGCGCTGTCGTCGGCTCCGGGAGTGCTCTCTCCAGCCTCGGGGTGCTTCCCACGAGGAGAGCAACTACGTCGTGCTGGGAGGAAGGGGCTGTGGGAGGAGGAGGGGCCTGAGCAACAGCATCCGGAAACAATGAGCGATACCTTCGGCCGCCTACGGGTAAGGACATCCTCGTGCCTCCTGACTCCCACCCCGATCACTGTCTTCCTGATTCCAGCAGCTGCGCGCCTCGCCCGGAGCGCACCCCGGGGGGTGCCCGGAGCGTCCCGACCGGCCGCGGGAGAGCCGATGCCCAGACCCCGTCGAGCAGTGAAAAACTCACGGCGGGGGGTTCTTCACGTCCTTCGGCCTCTGGGGGCCCTTGCCAGGCCTCGGGACCGTCAACAAAACGACTCAGGATAAAAACCGGTCCTGGGGAAGAGGTCGAAACGCCTGTGGGGGCCGACGTCATGACAAAGTCATGACGTCGGGGGTCCGGGTGCATGGCCCGAGAGAGCCAAAGGGGGGGCCACGCCAGGGGGGGACGGGCTCCCGCGGGGGGGAGCATGCACGGTTTCCCCCGGGGCCGCAGGCGACCCGAGA